GCGAGGTGGCGAGTTGCCGATTGGCCGCGAGCAGTCCGGTCGCGGTTCCGCATCGATCAACGTCGTTCTGCTCGGGCATCGGGACGCGGGAATGCAAGAGGAATCGGTGTCCATCGATAATAACCGTCCCACGATCGGCACCGCGACGTGAAAAGGTCTCTTTTACCCGCTAATAACGTCTTATTAGCACGGCCACGGTGACGTATGACGGATGACCGTAATAAGGCCCTTTACGTTTTAACGTGACAAATTGCGATCGCGCCTCGTTGTGTTGCCGGTCTGGCTGCGTGTTCACTGGCACGTCTCGTTCGCAGTCTCGGCGGAACAACGTGACGAAACCACACTCCGTTTAAAACACCTTTATCCCGTTTAATACGTATACTTATCGCCGTGCCACCATATTCGCCTATGTTCGCGACTGGCCACGCTATTTTAGCGATGCTAAACCAGATAGGAATTAGCGCCACCGACATTCTCCGTTAATCGTTCCATTGTGTCGATCGGACGATCGTACGGGTCGGTTGGATTAGTCGGTCGAGGAGATACGATCTCGTTTACGAATGCAGGGAAACGTTTGGCTTTCGCGGGAACATTGTGTCGTGTACGAACGTAGGAAGACGAAGTGTTCCTTGTCCTTGGGCGCTGGGCGCTTTGTTGGAGAATGATCTAGGTTAGGCGGTTAGCGAATGACGGCTTTAGTTATAACGTGATCGGAAAATTGCCACCGCGCCCTCGCGTGGCCAGTGATTGCAAAATTGCTGGAAAAGACTCTGTAATAGGTACATTCACGCGAGAGTGAAGCTTACAGGCATAAAAGAGCGTATTATTGCTCTGAGTTGAATGTGTTGTACAAGGCAAAGAAGCGAGGAGCGTTTGCCTTCGTTGCTCGCCCGCATCGCGACGTGAAAGCGTATGCATTTTCCAATTGACCCGAAAAATCTTTCAACACGTTTCGACAGATGCAACGTACACAAACTAGGAGGACAAATTAGAAACGCGAGTGTTTTCAATAGGAGGAAAGTCGCTCGTCAACTCGTACAGCTTTAATTCCATTAGATTCGAGGCGAACGAAGATTGAACACGAGACGATGTAATTGCAAAAGTCAAACAGAGATAACCAGCAATTTCTCAAGGAACCTGTCGTCGATGAATTGATAGTCGTTATTCCAGCTATACATACTCCTGACGCATAAATCCAATTGTCTAATCCTGGAAAAACAAAGAGCACGACGCTTTCGAATCCCCGTGTACGCATCTAGCAACTAGTTTCTATCTAAATGAAACGCACGCGACAAGAAAAACGAGACTAAGAAGAAGGGGGAGAAGAGAAGAGGACGAGCATCAAACGAGTATATCGTTTCTAACGAATCGCCGGTCGACGCCGGTGATAACTGGCTGGAAACAAAGTTTCTCTCTCGGCGACTGGCTGTCCGTTCTTGGAATTACGAGGACACGCTAATGTCCGTGGCGTGATGAGGCCGACGGATCTCACGGTAGTAACCGTAACGAAGAGGACGAACGTAGAACGGGAACGGGTAGTCCACGAGCTACGAGGCATCGAGTTCGAGCTCGAGAGGTTCACCTTTCGACCCATCGAAATGGCCGCGATCCACGAGAGATTACCCTCGAAACACCTGTCATCTAACGACCGAACTTTTCACAGTGTCGAGAGAAAAAGAGAGAAAAAGAGAGAAAAGAGAGAGAGAGAGAAAGAGAGAAACAGACTCCCCGTCATTTATCCCCTCAACGAAACGCGAACGACTTTCTAGCAATTACGGAAGCGCATGTTAGACGTGGTCGTTGGAAATGTCTTCTTCATTGCGGTTGTAATCGGGATTTTTTTTCTCTCTTTTTTTAATGTCAGGGTTGAGGGGAGAATCGGGTGAGAGTATTATTCGGAATAATGGATACGTGTCACGGAACGGGACAGGTGGAAAGTTCGAGCTTTCATCCTTCGTTTTATCCATCGAACAGACGGTTTTGAATTTTATCGATTTTTTTTTTTTGTACGTTTGGAAATTTGGAACTTGTGATCCGATCGACAGATTGACGATAAGGATTGTTGATTGCTACGCGAAATTTTATTTACGTTACACCATACTAACATTATATTACAGTAAAAGTGTATATAATTTATAATTTTTTGTTTTTTAAATAATATTCGCTTTACTCTCGCCGTTCCAAAGTACTTTTATTATTCCAACGCGTGTTTAACGCTAAAGAAAACAACCCATGAAAATAATTCAATAAGAAGAAAGAGTTGTCTTTCGAACGAACATACGTGGATACGCTTTGCAACTTCATAATACAGTTTCAACAGAACGTTGAATAAAAACGTTCGTGTTAAGAGGCCTCTGAAAGCCCCCGAGAGAGAGAAAGAGAGAGAGACTCCTGAAGCAAGATACGCCCGAGGAACGCGGCGGCTGGAGGAACGTTTCCTCGAACGTTTGCCTTTCATTCTGTCTGAAACGTAGCGAAGGATCGGGCGAGCAAACGAATCGGTAGTGGAGTAACGTGTATATCCTTCGCGAGACATGCGAACGAATGGTCGCCTTAGCAGCCGTACCAGCAGAGATATACCCAGGTTACACAGTGTACGGTGACTAATGAACCTTTACAGTCACCTTTACGTCCTACTGCCGGGCGCAGCGTAACTGGCTGAGTTTATTGCCGATGCTAATTCACGAGTCCGAGCAATTAGAGGGTTCGACGGAAGCGGATCCTTTGAGAATCCCCCTCGTGCTCTTGTCGCCAGCCTTCCGGACTTGATCGCCTGATCGTTTCACAGCGTTCTATCGACTGCTCCCGATATCCAGCTACACGCAAAGTAACCGAAGCGATCTTCAGCTGCGAGACCGAACGAAGAACCAGGCGAAGAAGTTTTATACGTGGCAATATTCGTCTCGTCGACACGAATTAGGTTTCGTGAAACAAGCGAAACAATCACCAAACCAAATTCGTTTACGTTTCGAGATTATATTTTTGGGTGAATTTTAAAATTTTTTTTAATTCTTGTTAATCTCAGTTGAAATTATTATAAATTATATACATAGTACAACTGAGGGATAAGTAATTCTACACGAAAATATGTCAAAATAAAACCTTTTCATGTAAGTCATCATTTTCGAGGGAATCAAATTTGAAAGTTTGTCAAAGACACTTGAATGACTGCACAGAAGAGGCTGATCGGTAGATTATTCCATCTGCCAAAATAAATAAAACTAAAATTTTTCCATCTCATTTTTGAGAAAACAAAGTTTGAATCCCTTTAATTAAAATATAAATTAATCTAGTATAAGTGATCTTGATAAAATTTTTAATTGAGTCCTGAGTCTCAGAAACGTCCTGTGAAAAAATTGTATTCTATTCATTTTTGACTTATTTTCGTATTTACCCCTGATCAATCCAGAATTAGCTAAATTCGAGTACAGCTGATAAATTTTCAAACTTCATTTTCTTTTGAAAACAGAGTCTCAAATGAACAAAATTTATTCCTTTATTACTTTTAATTTTTTCCCCTCCTTTTTGATTATATTTTCGAACATTAAGACACTCTGTGTATATATAAATTATCATTATATTACGATTATTATACGATTATGACGATATGTTAAATAATAGAATGAAAAATAATGTGGACGGATTATCACATGACGACGTGTATCGTGTTGATAAAAATGAAAAGAGATTGTTATTACTCGAGAAAATGAGTAATAAACGACAGATGGCACGGAGATATACGAATAGGGGTGGAAAAGATGCGAGGGCGACGCAGGGAAAAACCAGTATCACGTTCGCCTAATGACAGGGCATGTTAGTCATCGGGACGTATCGTGGCACTTCGTCTGAAGAGATCGGTGACGAAGACGAACGGTGCAGGTGAACGTGTACCAGCAAAAAGAAGCTCGTTCTCGCAGACAGAAATATTCATACAACGAGTTACGACAACTTCTAGAAAGCTTCGATGCCTCTTGAAGGCTGACGAATGTATCCAACGATTTCAATTTTTGTTCAAAACGAAAATGAAAATGAAAGGTCCTGCTCTCAAGCTCGATTTTATTTCATTATGCCAATGAAAATACGAAATTTGTCAGCCTACTGACAAGATAGCAACATGATTCAACTTCAAGCTTCGATGCTTCTTGAAGGCTGAAGAAGTATCTAATGATTTTTTTCTTTTTTTTTTTTTTGAACGTAAAAATGAAAATAAAATTCTACCCTGAAACTCGATTTTATTCCATTACATCAATAAAAGTACGAAAGACGTCAGTCAGAACATACGACAGAGAATCAACTTGACGCAAATTCCACGAGTCGTCTATTAATTGAATCCACAGCGAATCTCTCGATCGGATCGGTTAACCCGATCTGAATAGAACGATCAAAACCGAGCCAATAATAAATACCGTAATTACACCGCATTATATACATCATGTGTGGGACACGGTACGATAATTGCGCGTCATTACACGGTATCGGCGCGGTAATATATTATTAGATCTGGTTGCGCATGATGCGACGTACGATCGCGGTGGCACGTTTCTAGAATATTTATACGGCCTATGGCCACTGTTAATTAAAGAAAGTGCCGTAAACGCTTGCCGTGTGCGCGTGCAACGCCCGACAGAGGGTCGAAGCGGCCTTAGAGAAAAAGGAAAGCGTGGAAGAAAAACCACGAAAAGCGGACGACGACCGACAAGGGGGATCGCGAAGGATCGAAGGATCCTTAGCAGGCTGTGAACAGGCATCGTCGGCGGAAAAAAGAAGTCAACACGATCGATCTCTCCGTCGAAATAACCATAGCGGAAGGCTACGACGCGACGCGAGTAAAAGCGATAATGCCTTGGACCTCGCGGAGGCCTCGAGAACGTAAAAGTACGTTCGCCTACCCCCTTCCTACGGTGGGTAAAACGTGCGCGCAAACAACCGGCCAGCGTCCACTTGCGTAGCTCGAGAGACCAACGAGAGAAAGAGAAAGACGCACACGCAGTCGATACACCAGATAGTGATTGATGATGATTAGCTGGCGATTTGCCGATAAGGGAATGTACCGCGCCAAGGTTCTGCGCGTGTGCTGTTGCCGCGCTATGATACAGCCCGCGATATTGGGCCCCGGCTGCTACACTCGTGTAAATTGCTGTACAATGAGCAATTACAATGAGCTATGCAACGAGCGCACGTTCCTTTCGACGATACGAGATGCTGAATTCAGATTTTTTTTTTTTTCGGTTTTTTTGGTTCTGCATTTCTCTCACTTTCCATGGTGATGCTTTCTAACATCGTCTGGACAGTGATTTTTTTTCTTATTTTTTCGTTTGCTTCTCGGTAGTAGTAGTAGAATTTCTTTCTCACGCATACAGGGAGCAAATAAGAGAAATGCAACGTTGTGGTCCGTCAATCAAACGTAAGAAGAATCGCAAAGAACGAGAATAGAAAGTTTAATAAATTTAATTCGCCAGATGAATTGAATTTATTAAACGATTATATTACAGTGTGATTAACTAATTCTAAAAGATCCAAAGTAATAACTGATTCTAAACGATTAATTACAACGTGATTGTAATTCTAAAGGAGCAAGAGCAACGAAAGTCGCCGAAATATGTCTGACTCGATAACATCATATTCCACTTTGGCACCGCGCCATCATCGAATCGGTCCGATTCCTCCGGGCAGCTTTATTTCCTTATTAAGTCACAGGGACCGGCACAGGGAAACGGTGGATTTACCGTGACTGGTTTCAACGCGAGTTTCCATCGGAAACAAGTCGCAGGTGCAGCGAGCAGAGGCATCGTCGCCCGTGAACTACGACGCCGATACGGATCTACCGGCGTGACAATCTTTCGATAACAAGCAGAAACGTCCTCCGTGGAATCGCGAAGGGTCGGCGAACGCGGTATACACCATATCGATTCGATATCTGTTACCTGCTCGCCCGTGATACGCGATGCGTTCTGATAAGGCGTATTGTTGTCGCGTCTCTTCCGGCACCGATCGTCCTCGAATATCGAGGGTTCGATAAGTTTTATCCGATCGATGTTCGCGCCGATTTCACCTAATTCTCATGTAAATTGGCTGTCCGGTGTCCTGCGCTTTGCATAATATCTTCATACTTGTCTTCAGGTGTCGCGCGCGTATGTGTGCATGTGCATGTGTGTGTATATACTCTGTGAACGGCGCAACTTGTTACGAAGCTTTGGTAGATATGCACGAACAACGAACGAATGTTTGAATTCTCTTTCACTTACTCCACTTTTTTTTTTTTTTTTTTTTTTGTTAAAAACTTTTTATACTGAAAATCTTTTCTTCAAGTTCTGTCTTTTTTTTTTTATGAATTTTGGTTAGAAAAGGGTAGATACAAGGAACGAATTTGTGCTCGAATTTTCCTCCACTGTTTTTTATCTAGATGTACGATGTACATTTGTTTTATTTTTTTTTTTTTTACTAGTCAATAGTGTATATACATACGTATGTATAATATCATTTCGATTTCCTACGAGATGTATTCTTGTCTTACACCGCGGGACAAGAAGATAGCATACTTTGAAAATTATTAAATTTCTTTTCATTAAACGGATGATACAAAATCTTTCTTATGTGCATTCTTCCGTAGTGCTTTTATCAACATGCATAAGTGACGTGAATTAAACTATGTGCAATACAGTTTGTGTTATTAAAAAGGAAATATGGTAATGTTTAACGGGTCAAAATGATAGTACAATTCTACTAGATAGATAAATTAATATCTATCAGATATTACAATTCTATAACTATTAGCTTTTTACTGTATAATTTTCCTGTAATAAATTTTATTTCCAACTTACCTCTGCCAATTATTATACCGTCTCCTATGGATCGACGACTCGGAAGTTGGTGCTCCTTTTGTAAATCACGATGATGTAGTAATGGAGTCACAGTAATCAGATCCATCTAAATTGAATTTTTCTTGTCACCATTTCGTAAATATCACTATTCGCCATTTCTTATTCGTGTAAACACGTTTTCTCTGCAAATTGCAAACGGCACAGCTCACGCTCTTCCTTTGTTCACGATTCTTTGAAAAACGTCCAACGTTCCAGAGATTTGTAGTAACTGCAGCTTTTTCTGCGATTTGTCTCGCAGTCGAGCTTGAATTTAACGCTACGCGTCAGCTTTGTCCCAAGCTGTTAGACACTGCGGTCATCCACAACTTTTTCTCTTTCTTCACAATTATCGGAATCTCTTAATAAAACGGTAAAACTGTTTTAGCTATTTTCATCGTTCAATTTCAATATCGCGTGCGTATTTTCAGCTGGGCCCATTTTTTACAAATGTTAATACGCACTTAGCTGACCGTATTTCACACGAGTGTCACGCTTTCGGTAGCCCCCGTACGACTGAGGAGCATAAATATTCGACTTGTTCGAACTTTATATAATATTTACAGTTTCGTTTCTGTACTTCTGAGAAATTGCGCGTCTCGGTAACAACATTCGACATAATACACGTGGCCCAAGGATATTGGTGATGTGATAAACTGCGCATTCTCTCTGGTTTACGATACATAATATAAGAAAGTATAGAGCGTGCTACCTGTATCTATTTCATTAAATTTTCATTTTAATCTCTTCGATACGTACAATTTCCACATTTCACTCATTGTTAGCGTACGCGCATTCGTGTGTCTATTAGACATATGTAGCTCCACTCGCTCGTAGATTATGTATTAGGTTATCGGTCGACTTCTAGCTTTATTCAACGCCGCCCTGACGTGACGATTCGCTGGGTGTGTTAGTGGTAGAGTGTCCATCCAGTCTGTTAAACGCTAGTTAAACGATAGTGGCCGTTTCGCCCGAAGCCTCGTGATTTGCCAACGGAAGAAGGTGGCGCGTTTCCCTTGGCACGTTCGCCGCCCCGGTGATAATTAACATATGATTTCTTATGAATAATTAATCGCAGACGTTGTTACAACGGCGTGAATTAGCAAGCCGAGTATGTAATCGGCAGCTGCTTTAACTGGGTAAGACGAAATATTTCGTCATGCCAGGAAGATAACTGTAATGAGCATGACGACATTTTTCGTCATGGAAATTTTGAAAGTAATGTGTGATAGTATTTTATTTAAGTCTGGATGGAATTTATATATTTGCTAAATATGTCATTAAATATTCAAAAATATCGAAATAAATAGTAAACAGATTTTCTTTTCTTTTATTACTTTAGGCGTAACAATATAACTTCTCACTGCGAAGGAAAAGATTCCCATTGTGAAACAAGCTACTTTTTGTGAACCAAAGTTAAGAGGTTAAATCACGCGATCATCCAGTTTTGAAAAGTCTTCGCAACTTCATTTACGCACCTTCGTACGCGACTGGAAGTCAAAGTTTCCGATTCGATTGTTTATAGATGATAATGATTTAACTTGCAGGTAGTGGAACTCCAGACGATTTGGTTAGCAAACGTACTACGTAATTTCGAAATTAGAGTGAAAAATCTTCGAGTTTGAAGTTCGTCGCAGGGTCTAAAGTTGGGTGGAATTTAGATTGCAAAGCAACGAATTAAGTACCATATTATTTGGAACGAGGGAACTTTGAAGGAACTTTTTAAAAAGAACTTGAAGAGAGATGTCGAGAGAAAGCGGCTACCCATAAGTAACGTCGTTTTCTGATACTATACAAAACTTCATTTTATTTAAATTATTGTTACTAGACTGCAACGTTTATTAAATTTGAAAAAAAAACGACATTACTTACGGGTATCCCTATTACTTTCTAGAAAGTGTTTGAGAAAGAATCTTAAAAAAGTGTTTTAATGTAGCGATTCCAATTGTATCGTAAAATACACACGCGTTTTAAAAATTTCGTTTACCCACGATAAACATTGAGAATCCAAAAAGTGTCTCGAAATTTTTGAACGACAGTGTTGAAACTCCCTTCGATAATTGCCAGAAACAAAAAATTCTTGATCTCATTTATAATGGAGAAGCATGTTTCTGTTTGTCAAATGTTGAGCTCGCGCATACTTCTAATAATCCTTGAACTGAAAGACCTTGATATGGAATTAAAGATTATCCTAAAGATATTTACACGTTCAAAACCACGGTTTCCAATGTCCTCGAAACGTTAACACAACGCGGGAAGGAACCGAGAACGAGTCGAAAAGGGGGCGAAACCGGTAGCATCGAGTCGAGAGACACGCCGAGAGGATCGGCGGCGATGAGCGTCCGAGATTCGACTCGGCGTCCGAGACGTTCGCACGAGTGAGTCGTAAAACTTTCTCACCGAGCAGACGCTCAAAGCGGTGCGCGTGAAACGAAGCGGTCTGGATCTACTCTCGAGGATCTGTTTGGGGAGATGCAGAAGGAAGCGAGCGAGCAACAAGGCGGAAAGAAGACGAGAACGAGAGGAGGATGTGCCCGTGTCAGCAGGATGCAAGCGAGATCCGCGAAGCGCGAACGATCCACGCCGAGGCGGCGCGGCGTGAGCGTCGTCCGGGACGCTCGAGATATTTAGCGGCGATCGGAAACAACAAGCTGCCGTCTAATCACCGATCGACTACCGCGGCGGTCCCTGCAACCGCCGTTGATAGGCTCCTGCCTGGCATCGTGAACGTGTGAGCGTGCACCGAGCTCGGATCACGCTAACTAGCCTCTCCAGACCACACAGCGGTCGCACAGCGCTCTTTCAACCGAACGATTCGATTCCTGCGCCGTGGATCCTGCCGTTTGCTCCTCTCCTGTGCTTTCCCTACTTCACGCGCGTCTAGAGCGTGTTCCACTCGCTACTTTGCGCACGCTTGCAAATGCTAGGGATTAGTTGGACTGCAGGAGATAGCAAAATTAAGAAAATATCGGGCACACGTTCCTACTAGCAGGGCCAACAAATGTTAATGTGAAGAACGTATCCATAGACTAATTGCGAGAATTAGTTTATGGAACTGAGATTTGCCAAAATTTTGACCGAAAACGATTTACCTTCCCAATCGGAAAAGACACAAAGAGAATCGACCTTATATAAAGCTGGCATAGAATTATACATTTTCGTTACCTCATTCTACTTGTTTACTTAGTTACCAACCTATCTTGTCGCATTTCATACCTCACGTATTTCCCAAAAAAATCTTGGTTTTTTTTCAACATTTCGTGACACTTGCGCTGGATTTTTTTTTTTAATAAATATTTATATCATGAGACGTAGCGATAACGTTTTTCGCTGTAATTTCGCAGTAACCAGTGAAACTACATGATTAATGTCTTGTATCTTATTTCTTAGTGATTGCAGAGCTATTCATTTGTCGATCGAGTGTACATGGAATTACCTATTATGTATCTACATTGGTACACGCCGGCAGATCAGTCAGTTTCGATTGAACTTAATTGGCCAGGTCGCACGTTCGTAAACATCTAGATTAGCAGAGAATTTGTTAACTGGTTCGATCTCTAGATTACCCCCGGTTCCGAAAATTTCGATGAAATCGCAAATGCATCGCGATTGGATGGCAATTAAAGGGAATTTTCGGATAGAAACGTTGTGTTAATCAAAAATATATTACTAACGTACGATATCGAACACATTAGAGCGATGATAAATAAATATTAATTGTGTTATATGTAATTATCTCTGAGTAATCGGATGGATCTACGTCGATCGAATACGTCATACTTGTGAAGAGCTGATTCCTGCTTTTACTAAGAATATTGAATAGTGAAATTCACGTCTTAAAAATTCACGACTTCTCCTAGTATCCAGTGTATATAGGTAGAATCCACGTTCTCTGTATTAGTACGTAGTATTCTCGTATAAATCAAAGTTTCGTTTCGTTGCTGGTCGTTGCACGACTGCAGATAGGCGTAATATCTTACGTCGAGGTCAAGGCGAATGCGTCAGGCTCGTTCACAGCTGGCACACGTGCTGATATTAAACGCCACGATGATACATCAGTGGTGGAAAATAATCCGTACCTGTGCCGCGAGATCTTCGGGAGATATTCTCGTCCAATAGCTGTTGATGCTTTCTCGTTCGTGAAGGATAATCCGCAAACTTGGACAATTACGATTGCACGTATCGTTTACGAT